GGAGTTTGAAGTGCTCGATCGAATGTATGCTCGCGGAGAGGTGTTTAGGATTGCTGAGAAGCTGCTGAAGGCAAAGAGAAGTCGATGATTTTTTATTTACAAAAAAACTAAAGTTTCAGAAGAGTTTATAGTTATTTAGAAGTTTTTTTCTTTTTTGTTCAAAGTTCTCCAAAATAATTCATAAAGACTAAAAACGATTGAAGTAATAAAACCAAATCTGATTAAATGAGGAATGAACAGTCGTAGTTCAGGAGCTAAATGGCGGAAGCTCCCGTACTCTAGCGTCTCTAATGGATTGCAATCTATTGCAATCACAGTTTGCAAAAGTAGAAATGTTGAAACTCTCAGCAGCTCAGTCTTCCAAGCCCAAGGTCGTCCTTCGAAAAGCATTCCAAGTGAAGTGAGCGACAGGGCGACAGTGGCCGTGCAGCCGAGCAGTGTCCACTGACTATAGGCTTGGGAATGACTGCCCAGACTAGCTTCCTCGTAGAGGATGAGCACAGGGAGGAGGTGGGCGAGACAATAAAGGGTGGTCAAAGTAGGAATTTGAGGATTCCAGTAAGGAGTGTAAGTAGAAGAAGGAGGTGAGATCTGTGGTAAGTACAAATGAGTTATTTTTAGAATTTAAAAATTATAAACAAGGGTTACCGGAGGAATTTCATCAATGTAGCCTAGGCGAGGTTTTCCCTCTTCCCAGCTGGGTCCTTTGAGAAATACAGAAATTTTGGCTTTCCAGTTTGAGAAAGATGCACATCTTTGTACAATTTTTATCCAACTGTGAAACTGAAGGTAGAGAATGTTGTAACTTTGCACTGGAGTGACCAGCCCGTATACTGGCGGCTCCGTCTCTGGCTCTTCCTCTTCAAAAGTTCCAAAGAGGCGATCCCAGATGATGAGCGTAGCGCCGTAGTTTTTATCAATGTACCGACGATTTCTGGCGTGGTGCACTCGGTGGTGAGAAGCAGTGTTGAGGAAGTACTCCAGTCCAAACGGGAGCTTTCCAATAGCCTCAGTGTGGATCCAAATCATGTACAACTCAGAAAGCTGAAGATGAACTAGAAAAATGGGTGGCGGGATGCCCAACAAGGCAACTGGAGTGTAGGCGATCCAGGCGATGAAAGGTTGAAGTAGGGCCTGACGGAGTGCTCCGAGAACGTTAAACTCTTCACCGCTGTGATGCGCCTGGTGAATGGCCCACATGAAGTTGATTTCTAAAAAATGAAATAGTTTTAATGATTAAGAGTTAATTGATCTACCAGTTATTACCATGAGCCATGCGGTGGAACCAGTAGAAGCCCCAGTCGACGAGAAGAGCTGTTAGAAGCCAAGTGCCTGCAGAGTTCCAGGCAAACGTCGTCAAGCGAAAGTGCTCGTAAACGTAGCAGTAGCAAAGAAGTTCGATGCTTCGAATGTGGATTCTTGAAAAAGATTGAAATATTTTAAATTTTGAGCAAAAACTCAGTTAAGTATAAGTTACCTTAAACATTCCTGAAAAATTCCACTTGCCAGTGAAGCAAATGTGTCATTGATGCGGTAAATTCCTTTGCCTTTAAGTAACCGAATTGCATTTTCTAATATCATCAGCGCCACAATGGCAGGGTACATCTAAATTAATTTATTAAAATGTATCAAGTTTGATAGTCTGTTTAACTTAGTTACCATTGTAATGTACCTAGGCGTGTTCTGCAGACTGTTAAACATTGCTTCGTAGGGTGAAACAAAATAGAAAAGAAATCGGGCATCATTTGCAACACCCACTGAAGTTTCTAAAACTTTTTGAGTTACATTGGTCATGTTGATGGAAGATTTGAAAGTTGAACTTAGAGTGAACATCAACAGCAACTGCTGTTCAACGCTGCTGGCTGAGAATGATGATGGACCATTGTGGGAAAACTCCATTTTTTTGTAAAAATATTAAGCAAAAAATCACACTTTTATTAGATGTGTTTTTATTAATCTCAAACACCAATTCTTTTGTTATATGAGTTTTTATATCAAAACCAATTTTAGATTGTAGTAGTAAATCCCAATCTGGTTTTTTGTCTAATGATTCACACAGTTTTGGGGAAAGTTGATTTACTTTTACTCTCAAACTGTCTATTTCGTGTCAATTCAAGTGCTCAAACAGAGAAATTCAAGCAGTATTGCATTTGCTTTACTTTATGTTTTCACTGAACCGGAAAATGACTGTTTTTGGGAAAAGACTGCTAGGCAATTAAACAATTTACCTTGTGACAAATACATTTTTGACATCTTAAGTAATGATGACATCAAGAAAAAACCTTTTACATAAATGTTTTTGTGTTTTATTGATTGCCATCAATGAAAAAGACGAAACACAAAAAAACAATTAAAAGTGGCAACTTAGAATTGATTCTGTTAAAGATGGGAAAAACAGGGCAAATTTTCAGCAGAAAAAACTATAAAGCAAAGACGTCATTCAGTGAAATCAGTGCTGTTCAAGTGTTTTCTCACATGATCTATTACTACTTTGTTGTTTTGTTGCACGTTTATTAGGGGTACAATAAAGCTAATATAAAATTATGATGGAAAATCTACTAAACAAAATTTTAAAATGTTAATTGCAAAAATATAAAAATTTACACCAAATTAATATGTCCGAAATCGACCTGAAATTTTCGACACCACAAGCCGATGTGTTTGATGTCCCGCAGCGTTCGACCAGCAGGCAATTTTAGCACTACATCGGCGTTTTGATAGGCTTTCAGCGGCTTTCTGCTGCCCTTCTCGTCAGCCAGCGGTGTCCCGGTGACGCCCGGTTTCGAGGTGGTGCCTACCCAAAAGAAGGCGTCAGGTGCTAGGCCGTCATAGTTAAGGCGTCTTATGCGAATGGTCGAAGAGTCAATGGCATACACCTCGCCGCTGACACCGTGCGACAACTGGGAAAGGCTGCCCAAGTAGGTTTCCCCAGAGACTGCAATGACAGCTAGTGTAAAGACGAGCAAAATGAATAGAGATTTCATTTTGAAATGTTTTAAAAAGTTTAAAACTTAAGATAGAAATCACTTTTCCTTTTATACACTCGTTTACGAGTAACAACGTATTTTAAAGTTTTTAAAACGTAATTGTGACTGAAAAACCTTTTTGTTAGCGCCATGATGCTAGAAAAAGCAAAAAAAGTTTTAACACTTTTGTACAAAGGAGTTCAACCTTCAGTTCCTGTTGTCAACTTTCCCCTTGTACAAAATTGTTCAGGGAGTGTAATTGAAGGTGAGCAAACAAACAAAGTTTGTTTTGCATACTATCGCTTTTCTTTCTTTTTCTTATTTACACCAAAAAAAAGAAAGACATTGACCTAAATTGATTTATTGACTTTTTTTCGTACCTGGAAAAATATTATTTAGACTATATTAAATTGAAAGCTAAATTACTGAATGTATGACGACAATTATTCAAGTGAACCTACACACTTGGATAAATAACATTTCCGAGAATAGATGAACATTTTTCTCCTTCAGACAAAAATACTGGTAAATACCCAAATTATTTAATTCAGATACAATTTTCAATGTGAACTAACACTCATTTTCTTTTATTTGTAAAACTATCTTAATTTTTACTCAAAAATGGGCATTTACCGCTTCCGAACTCCACTCTTCCGACAGCTATCTTTTATTAGGTACTAAACGAATTATTTTGATTATTACAAGTTACATTTTTACTCTTAGCATTATCGGCATCTACATCTGCCCACTGAACCTTCAACCCTCAAACCTTCTTTGGTTAAGCTGGAACTCATTTTTAGCGGCCCTAAACGTTTGCACATTTGTCTCACTGGATCCATTCCAGTTCTGTCATCTTCTTGAGTTGTACGGAAGTCAAGTCAGTCCTCTGCTTCGACTGTACAGCGTAAACTGCTACCGGTACCTGCATCCGCTTCTCGTCCTTCTTGACGACATCTACATTACCTGGGGCACGCTACAGGCGGTGAAGATACTCGATGAACCAATCTTCTGTCAGTTTTACCAAAAACGCAAAGACAAGCTGAGAGGCTGTTATGCTATGATAGCCGTTTCCCAGTTGACTATTTTGGGCTACTTTGCAGTTCGTTTAAATGCTCCATCACAACATGTAATCCTTTCGGTTCCTTTAACGTTCTGGGAGCAGGTCGCCGTCTCACGAGCCCTCTACATGCTCTTCTACAAAGAGTTCTGCATGTGTTTCCTTATTCACTACATTCAGTGTCCGGTAGCAGCGATGCTCTGCGACCGTGTGCGAAGATTACAGAAGCTTAAGAAGAAGAGATTTGGGGAGTTTGAACAAAAGGATGAAAATAAAGAGGCACAAGAAGTCCTGAAAGAGGTGAAAACGCTTTCCCTAGCAGTGCGTGAGCTGAATCGTATCACTTCTTTTCCCTTTTTGGTGCACATAAGCACGTTGGTTGTGAACATTATCCTTGGCGGTTGTTTTGTGATCCTTTGCAACGGCGGATGGCCGCTGCTGATGAACAGCGTTGTCATCCTTAGCTATCTTGCCTTTCTAATGGCCCAGAGTGCCCAGATTCAGGAACGAGTCGAAGAGTTGGCCCTTCTGCTTTCTTTATCTTCATCAAAAAAGAGTTCAAGAGTCAACTCCCAAAGTTCACAGACAATTTCTTACAACAACGTTCAAACCCTTTCTAAAACAAAACAATTGATGTGCCGACTCTCGCCGTACCGCAGAGAGGATCAAGCAGTATCGTCAAAGTGGATCTCACAATCAAAAAGTTTTTCAAGTTTAAATAAAAATTCCTCAAAGTTTCGGAACCCTCCCAGCGATGCCCTCGCAAACTACAAATCCGACTTGGCGATAAAACTCTTTCAGATGGCCACGATTCGCTGTGCATTCATCGCTCAGCTTGTTTTCTTCATTCTCAACTACGTGGTCATTATCACACAGACAAATACTTGATTTCAATTCAGTAACTTTTATTTCATTTGTTAAATAAACTAAGCTTACACAAGTTTCTATTTTTTCATAGAATTCAACACAAATCTTACTTAGCGTACTTTTCCACCACTGCCTCAATCTTCATGCAAGCAACCTCTTTGCTGCGATCAGCAACGATCCGTTTGGCCGCCGTCTGCAGTCTCTCTTTGAGCTGTTGGTCATTGATTAGTGTTTCCACTGCATCCACCAGCTCTTCATCCTTGAACTTGTAAGTTTCCAGACGACGTCCAAAACCCTTCTCGTGTACTCTCTGTGCATTGTCAAATTGGTCCCCAAAAAGGGGCATGATAATCATTGGCTTGCCAAAGCTAAATGTTTCGGTGACGGTGTTGCTGAAAAGTGTAAAAAATAGTCAAAATCAACGTTTTTTGCCTTTTAATTCCACTTACTTTCCACCGTGAGTGATCACCAAATCAACTATGGGCAGTATTTGAGTTTGAGGAAGGAAACCCTCACCCCAGCAGTTTTTCGGGAGTTCATACTCATCAGCCAGTGGTCCCTTAGAGACGATCGTCTTATAGGGCGTCTTCGAGGAGAGGATCGAGACCACTCGTTTCACCAGATCAACGTCAACACTGCCCATGCTACCGAGACTGAAGAAGATCAACTTGTCACCTTCTTTAGCAAAACCTTCAGGTAGCTTGAACGGCTCTGCCGGTTTAGTTTCTCGGCAGAAGGCATCCATGCCGATGAACTTTTCAGGAATTGTGATCAGGTCCTGGTAATCGAGTTCCTCTAAAACATTTGATTCAGTTAACATTATGTGTAAAATTCAGCTCTAAAAACTTACTAGGATACCCGTAAACATAACCGTACTTGCACTGCGGAAAGATGCCTCCATCATCGACGGGCAAATCCTCCGCTGGGTTAGGTTCATAGCCAAACGTTTCATACAGTCGTTGCTGGTATTTAGTAAAGGAGGCAGCATTCTCTCGCTGGTACACCAGATACTCCTCCCATTCCGCTCGATCGCCATCCGTCGGGTAACCTAAATTGAATTAAAATGTTAAACTTAAAAAATAAAAAGAACTTATGCAAATTACCTGTGGCAAATGGCGGCAGGTCCTTAGTGATGGAACTGTAAATTGCAATGGGATTTCCGCTAAAAAGATATAGCCAGGGCATGCCCGACTCAGGCAGACAGGGCGGCACGAGAAAGTGATCGAGAATGAAAAGGTCTGGTTTACGCTCTTCAATTGCCCGTTTGATCTGCGGGTTAAAATCGACCGTAGACTCATAGAGACTTTTGGCAAACTGCTCATCTTTATCGTTCCCTTTAGCTCGATTCTCCGACAGCTCCTTCATCCGCTCCAGTGGCGTCTTCTCATTGAGTAGTCCCATGTTGAGGATCATCTTGGCAAAGGCCTTCACCGGGTTGACGTGATCTTCGGGAGCCTTTTTGGTGTCTTTCTCTGCGTCCTCTTTCTTGGGACGCTCCATAGACAGCTCTTCAAAACCAAACTTGGCGAATTGTCCTGTGTTACAGTGAAAAATGTTTACAATTAAAACTTTAAAATTTTTTTTATTTAATCATACCCTTGAAAGCAGCATTGACGAGAAAGAGAACCGAGTGACCTCGTTTTACCAACGCCTCTGCCACGCCTACACAAGCGTTCAGGTGGCCGGTGCCGTCCATTGCGTGGATGAAAATTTTCAATGGCTTTTTGGCTGGTTTAATTTCCATTTTGCTAACAGTATATTAAAATGAGCAAACTTTGAAAAGCTAATTGCCAACCACTGACAATGAACAACTGTTGAACCAACAAAAAATTTGGTACAGCTAAATAACTGGATGTACGCAAATGCAACTGATAAGGCTTTGTGAGGGACTGATAAAGATGAGGACACTGCTTTGCCGCACTGTGTTTTAATCAAAAGAAAAGTCAACTATCGCTGATAAGTAGTGTTGCAATAGAGTTTGACTGAAGCATCAAACTTTTAAAGTGCAAAACCAACGATAAGAGTACTTTAGTTCAAATAAAGAACATGTCAGACATTCATACTTTGAATGTGTGTGACAAGTCACGCAAACCAGTCAATCAAATGGGATTCAATTTTTAATATTTTTGGGCAAAAAATAAATTAAAACTTAACAAACACAAATCATCCTCACTTTGCGTACTTCTCTGCAACTGCCTCAATCTTCATGCATGCGACCTCTTTGCTGCGGTCAGCGGCAATCCGCTTGGCAGCTGCTTCCAATCGCTCCTTGAGCTTTTGATCATTGATCAGCGCCTCCACAGCGTCCACCAGCTCCTGATCTTTGAACTTGTACGTCTCCAGACGACGTCCAAAGCCTTTCTCAGTCAGTCGTTGGGCGTTGTCGTACTGGTCTCCGAACAATGGGAGTACAATTTGTGGCTTGCCAAAGCTGAAGGTCTCGGTGACGGTGTTGCTGAAAAGTAGAAAAAACTTTGATTAAAAAATACTTTTAAGCTAGTGTTGTGACATCTTACTTTCCACCGTGAGTGATGACCAAATCAACAAGAGGTAGAATTTGAGTTTGGGGAAGGAAACCCTCACCCCAACACCGTTCTGGGAGTTCATACTCATCAGCCAGTGGTCCCTTAGAGACGATGGTTTTGTATGGAGTTTTCGAGGAGAGGATCGAGGTGACCCGTTTCACCAGCTCAACGTCAACACTGCCCATACTTCCTAGACTGAAGAAGATCAGCTTTTCACCTTCTTTGGCAAAACCTTCAGGCAGTTTGAATGGCTCTGCTGGCTTGGTCTCTCGACAGAAGGCATCCATGCCGATGAACTTCTCGGGAATGGGGATCAGGTCCTGGTAATCGAGTTCCTCTGAAATTGTAAAATGTGCTTAACACTTAAAAACTCAAAAGTAATTTATTAGTCTTACTTGGATACCCGTAAACGTAGCCGTACTTGCACTGCGGAAAAATACCTCCATCTTTCTTTGGAAAATCCTCTTCTGTTGCTTCATAGCCAAAGTGTTCATACAATTTCTGCTGGTACTTGTGAAAGGAGTCACCCATGGAGTTTTTATATGAAAGGAACTCATCCCAAAGGGCCCGGTCACTGTCAGTTGGGTAACCTGAAAATTTTTTAGAGTTTTTAAAATTAAAATAGTTAATATCATTTTTGAACTACTAATTACCAGTAGTAAAGGGCGGCAAGTCCTTAGATCCATAAATAGCAATCGGGTTTCCGCTAAACAGGTACAGCCACGGAACACCCGACTCAGGCAAACAGGGCGGAATCAAAAAGTGATCTAGAATGAAAAGGTCGGGTTTGCGTTCCTCAATCGCCCGCTTGATTTGTGGATTAAAATCGACTGTTGATTCGTAGAGCGATTTGATAAATTCCTGGTCTTTGTCATCTCCTTTGGCTCGCTTCTCTGCCATCTCCTTCACCCGTTCAAGTGGCGTCTTGTCGTTGAGCATGCCCGACTTGAGAATCATCTTGGCAAAAGCTTTCACTGGGTTGACCTGCTCTTCAGAAGGGCCATTTCCTCCTTTTCCCTTTCCCTTATCTTCTCCTTCTTTTTTCGCCCGCTCTAGGGTCAGCTCTTCAAAACCATACTTAGAAAATTGACCTGGAGAATGTAAAAAATTGAAATGATGTTTAGTTTTGTTATTAAACAATTACCCTTGAAAGCGGCATTGACGAGAAAGAGGACCGAGTGGCCTCGTTTAATCAGTGCCTCTGCCATGCCCACACAAGCATTCAGATGGCCAGTGCCGTCCATGGCGTGGAAGAGGATTTGCAGCTTCTTCTTAGGGGGTTGTACGTTTGCCATTCTTTAGTTCTTTTTCTGTTGGTTTTTGTTTTAATGAAATCAAACTAATTGACTATTTGGTGAATGAACAAATGGTCGCCGCCATTTTGCTTTATATACCCAAAAACCAGTGTGGTTGCATCAATGCCAACATTTTTTGCGGTTAAAAATAGTCACAAGTTGATAAGGAGCAGCCTTAACACTTACAAGTTGTACACCAGTGGCTCGATTGCTCTTCCATTGCCGTAGACCAGCTCTCTGCCACTGCCTCCTTCCCAACCAAGGTTGCTGATAATTGCCTGCTTTTGGTTGATAAGTTTTCCCTCTGTGAAGGTCATTCTTTAGTTTTAATAGTAATTGAAGTACAATCACGTAACCAAATGTTGGCTGCACTCTAGAGTGCAAATATATCAATGTAACAAATGCGATAGAGGTACACTCTAGGTATAGTTGTAATTATTTTTTACTTGAAAAATAGTTGAGATGATGTCATAATGCAACAACTTTACACAGTTTAAATTTTTGTAAAAATTTTAGTTGTTTTTTAAAAATAAATCAAAACATTTTGTTTTGACAAAGTATTAGTTTTAGTTGTGCACGAGCTTTTTGTAAATTTTCTTTTATGTTTTTAAGTTTTTTTGCTTTTAAAATATTGATTTTTATTCTTTTTCATTCTAGGCTTTTGACAAAAAAGATTTAGATGAGATAAAAATGAAAAAAATCACAAATTTTCTTTTGTTTAATAAATAATTGAAATGCACTACAACAGTAATCAAATCTGAGTAGTTTTTAACTTTGTGTAAGCAGTTATTTATTCTTTGTAAAACCATAAAAACCACAAAAAATTTTAAATAAAAAACTTTGAAAACTTTATCAATCTAGTTTATTCTAGTGATTGTCAAACATTGCAATTTTCTTTTTACGATTATTGCTGCAATTACTTAGAAAAAATTCATTTACTTGAACACACGAATTTTTTAGCAACACTCAAAAACACAAAACATTACACTTTTGCCAAAGCAAAAAGTTTCTATCTAAGTTAAAACAAAAATTAAAATTATTTTTAGTTTTTGTTTGTCATGATCAACTAATTTTTCAACTAGCAAAAAGAAAACTATGTTTTACCTCAACACCTTGATTACCATTTTCTGGCCCCTAAAGACTCTGGCTTACTTTGAAAAGTATCTGGCTCTAGTGGAAACTATCTACATTTTCCAAAATGTCCGATTACTTATTCAGCTAAAACTTTTTAACATTATCACAATGATAACTGCTGTCCACTTTTTCTACCTTTCCAATCCTTATCTTACTGAATTCGAGCGCACTCTTCACTTTGACGGTTGCTACATTCTGATTCCTAGCTCTCATCTGAACACCATTGCCGGTGCAGTAGCTATCCTCAATCTTTACTACCTAAAAGTACTAAAGAAGGGGACAAACTTGAGACTTTTGCAAGGATTGGGGCAAATTCTAATATTCGGTAAACTGTCTACCTTCTTTTCATCAAAAAAGAACCACTTGTTTCATCAAAGTGATCAAAAGAGTCAGGAAATGATCGTTAAACTCCGCCATAAGTACTTTGTGGTAATGAACGCTTTCCAATCGCTTACATTGGTCATCAGTGAGTATCCTTTTCATTTATTTTAAGATTCTTAATTTTAAGGAAAAACCTTAAGATCTTCTTTTCCTCTACTGGCACTTTGTTTTTACAAGAAAAATACTTAAAAACTGGTACCTCTGGGGTCTATCTGAAAACTCACTGATTTACAATTTGTATCTCCTTACCTGCCACCTCCTTTGCTCTTCTCTTTTTGCCAGTTACATCCTCTTTATTGCTCACTACTCTTCCGTCTGTTTCACCTCTGCCTTCTGTTTGCTTTCAGTATTTTTTACTAAAATGCGTCTTGCTTATGAGGCATTTGAAGAACTGCTTGAATTTCGAAAGAGAGGAAAACGAAAGTACACCGTTCGCAAGTACCGTCGTGCCCGGCACGCCTATATCAGTACACTGACCTTCTTCTTTGATGTCAATCACGCCTACTCTAAAATCTTTTGTGCCACCATTGTCACTTACGCTCCTGTCAATACGATGATGACTATGTGGATCACTTTAGGCTACGTCGATCTGGAACGAAATGGTTTCATCGGTTTTTTCATCGTCTATCATCTTTTCTTCATTTTCTTTCTTCATTTTTTTCTCACCGATTGCACTAGAGCAATTCACAGGGTTGGGGATGTGCTGCTAAAGTTGATGGTCGTTGTGTCTACTGATGATCAAGGTCAAAGGTCGAGGGTGGGCAGAAGTAGTGGTCGATCGAGGCTAGTCTTGGCGGGAGACATTGCTTCTGTGCATACAACTAACCGGTAATAAGAGGATTTTATTGTTTTGAGTTAAACTTAACAATTTTTTGTGAAGTCTTGGGTTTACTTACGGCAGTTACGGGCTGGTATCGCTTGCGACATTCTTAAAGGTAGGTTTGAAATATGTTTTAAGTTATTTTAACATTCGTTTTTCTACGCAAAACTATTTTAGTACTTGATTTTTTACGCAAAAGTAATGCTGATCTCTTACAAGATTGTCAGCAAAGAGTAAAAATTTTGTATAAAATATTTTTTTTGTTATTAAAAAATAAAATTTTTAAAACGTTTAAAAAATAAAACGTTTTGCAATTTTTTAATTTTTAGTTGTTTACAACATTTTTCCACAAAATGTTATTACTGGTACAATCAATACTTATATTAATCATGTTTGTCAAGTATTATTCAACGTCAAAGTTTTTTTTCAACTGAAAAAGAACTGTAAATTGACGTTAATTGATTGGCAAAGCATACTTGACGATACCTGTTTAGTGGTGAAACAAAAAACTGCGGCAAACTTTGCAGTGTGTTTACTTCACTGTTGCTATACAGAATTACTTTAAAACCTGTTCTAAAAGTTTTAATTTATTTGAAAACAGTGGTATAAAAGTCGGCTAATAATTTGCAGTTTTAACACAAATTAATTAAGTTTTTCAAGCTATAAAATTTTTTTGAAAATGTTTTTCAAAGCTTCACTCTTCACTGTTTGTTTGATGGTTGTTTTAGTGTCTATCCATGGCCAAAACATTGAGACCGATCCTGCTCTGGCCCTGCTGGGCAAATGCCTTCGCAGTATCGAGACCACCGCTGCAGGACAGTGCGCTCCCAATCTGAAGGGCGGCAAGGTGAATCCGGAAACCTGGGACCAAACTGTTTGCTGCAACTTCAAAGCCTACAAGTCCTGCATTTGGGAGAAAATCAACGCTGACAACGAGTGCAAGGACAAAGTGCAGGACCTGGGCAAAAACCTGGACACTGAGTACACCGACAACTGCGCCTCTTTTACTGCTCCCTGCGCTTAAAAATACAGTTTGATTTGCAACCTTTAATTAACTAAACACGTACCTTACAGTTACAAAAATTTCAGTACATTTTAACTTTGTTGAATAAAAAGATAATGATTATAAACACAAAAAAAACTTTGAAAAGCTCAATAAACTTTATCTGGTTTAGTCCTAAATCAAATCAAATAATGACACTTCTAAAATAAAGTTTCATTTTTCCCCAAAGTCTATTTTGGTCAAAAACGCTAGATAGCGCCAAGTGAGATCAGCAAACAAAATTATTATTTTTCTATTAATTAAAGTTTCCCTTAGCAAATCTAACAGAGCGTAAAAGGCTCTCAATAACTTGTTTCTTTTTCCTTATCTTACCAGCAACGTCTTTCCTGTATGGCAACAGCAGTTGCGACCGATAAACTTGTTTTGCAATGTTTTGAGCAGCAGCAGACGTCGCAACAGAAAAGGAAAATGGAAAAGCGTTTGGCTCATCACTTGTTTTGCTTCTGATATTGTTGTTGGGCTAATAAATCTTAACTGTTAATGGCACATATATTGAAGATTTTAAACCAAATAAAAAACAATGCCTGAGAGCAAGAAGCACTGCCATGTTTGTGGCCAACCAGCGGCCGGCTACAACTTTCACGGGCTCAGTTGCCAGTCGTGCAAGATCTTTTTTCGTCGATACGCTAACACACCACAGGTCATTTAGTTTTAACTTTAAATTTTTTTTATATTAATTTGTAAACTTTTAACCAGAAATTTACCTGCAGTGCCGCCAACACCTGTTCAGTGGTCGGTCCCTACCAGCGAAGCTGCTGCCAGAGCTGTCGTCTGGTAAATGAATAAAAAGTCTTGTTGCGTTTTAAACTCATTAAATCAATTTAAACTTTTTTTCAGGCAAAATGTTTCGCCGTTGGCATGAAAAAAGAGCTAATCAACGCCAAGTATACAAAGCGAAAAAAACCAACTTTAATTTTTGTAAAAAAAGAAAAAAAGGAAGACGAAAATTGCACAACTGCTAAACTCTCGAGTAAATCCTGCCCAGTTTCAGAAAAATCTTTTGTCGATCTCCATTTTGACTTCCACCACCTGACCAGTCTGCTACTGCCCTATGAGGCGGTCCTTTTCAGCGAGCTCCAGCAGGCAATGAGCTCAAATTTTGTCAATGAACGACTGCTTCCTCTTTCTACCTCTTTTTCCTCAAACTCATCAAACTCTACTACCGAACCTTCTTCATCTTCTACCTCAGCAGAACTTCTGGCGGTGTACAACACACACTGCTGCTACATTCGACGAGTTATTGGATTTTGTAAAGCTATCTCCGTTTTTCGGCGTCTACCACTTGTCGACCAGCTCGCATTACTAAAAGGTTTGAAAGACTAAACCTAGTAAAGTTTTTATTTTTTACCTTTTTTAACCAATTACTCTATTCTTACTAAAAGAATTCTACGTGGACGTGTTGACGCTTAGGGCTGCAGTTAATTACTGCCCATCCGAAGATAGTTTTCCATATATGGAGGTATGTTTTAAAGAATGTACTCTTAGAATATTTTACTTTAAAATGTCATCATTTTACGCACTCTAGAACGACACTGGACGCTCCGTTCTCTCTATGAAGCTGACCCTTTTTCAGCAGGCAAAAGTCGGAGGTCATGAGGCAGAAGAGGGCTACAGAAAGTTCTTTCTTTCAATGCAAGAATTGTTACAAAATGACGAAACGTTAAGAGATTTGCTGATCACCTACCGATTATTTGAACATCGAGCCGGTCTCACCTGTCCAGAGTTGATTTGGTAATCTTTGTAGTTTTATTGATTTTCGAAGATTTTTTAATTTTTCTTCTTAAACTTTCAGTTATCAGAAAGCCGTGTATGGCCACTTGCTGTTGCGTTATCTGCACCACTGCAAGCATCCAAAAAGTTGGAGAGCAGCTAAAAAGAAGTACCACGCTCTACTTGATAAGCTCACCGAGTTGAAGGTGCTCAACAGTCTTAGCTACCAAATCATCCTCAGTTTCAATCGAGAGCAACTAGGCCAGGTCGTGGCTGAGGTGTTTGACATTTGAGCATGCTAAAGTTTGTATTTATTAAAGTTTTACTCAACTTTTTTGGACTTTTCTTTCTTGACTAACTGCTCAATCACCTCTGCCGCTCGTTCTTTTCCGCCTTTGGTTGCTTGAATCCGCTTGCCGGCAGCTTCCACTCGGGCCCTCATCTCTGTGTCTCCGAAAATCCGGTCAATCGCTGTCACAAGCTCCTGATCATTGAAAGAGTACGTCTCCAAGCGAATTCCAAAACCTTTGTCTTCTACTCTGGCAGCATTGGTTGGCTGGTCGTAAAAGATTGGCAGGACAATGAGCGGCTTTCCAAAGCTAATCGCCTCTGTCAGTGTGTTATTGCCGCCGTGGGTGATCACCAGATCGACCAGAGGAAGTACCTGAGTTTGTGGGAGGACAGAATCTCCGGTCATATTTTCTCCAAGCTGATATTCTTCAGCCAACAGTCCTTTAGCGACCACGTAAAAGTAGGGCGTTGCAGAGAGGATCGTCACCAGGCGGCGCATCAGCGTCACATTGCAGCTGCCCATGCTGCCCATGCTAAGGTAGATCAATTTATCTCCGGGTTTCATTCTTTTTTTGAAATCTAATGGGAGTTTGTACGACGTTCCAGAGGGCTCTTCACGACAAAAGGCGTCTACGCGGAGAAAGTTGGGCGGAATTCTGATCACGTCGTCGTAGTCCAGCTCTGCCGGGTACTGGTAAATGTTTAGTAGCGGAGAGTGAGGAACGAAAAGTTGGCCTTCAACGGGAGGATAGCCAAACATCTTGTTAAGCTTGTTTTGGTAGTCAACCGTCATGCGAAAATGGACTTTGTGAGACACTGCTCGATATTTTTCCCATTGAGCTCTATCACTGGTGATAGAAAAATCTAAAAAGGTAGTACTTTTAGAAAATTAGTTTGAACACGTTTCTAGCTTACCCGAAGTGAAAGGCGGCAACTCTGGTGAGTCAAAAACTCCCACAGGATTGCTGCAAAAGAGCAGCGCCCAAGGAATGCCGCTGTACAACAGACAGGGCATGATAATATCTGAGTCAATGACTAGAAAGTCGGGCTTCAGATCTTCGAGGTACCGCTGGGCCTGAGCTTCAAAGTCGACGGCTTTCTCAAAAATGTCTCGATTTTTCTTTGGAACTAATATTTCCAGTTTCTCTATTACTGGTTTTGCAGTGAAAATACCGTTTTCAGCCATAAAACTGATAAATTGTCGAACTGGGTTTTCTTCAGTTGGGCTGACGCGGTCTGGCGATTCAGTAAGCGGAAGCAGCCGGAAGCCATAGCGAGCAAACTTGGCGCAAAACTTTTCATTTCCAAGAAAGTATACCTGGTGTCCTCGACCAATTAGCACTTGTCCAAGGCCGATGCAGGCATTCTGAGGGCCTACAAGGTCCATCATGTGAAAAACAATTTTTAAAGATTTTAAAGAAGACATAGTTTTTTGAGTATTGATTTTTAATTGAAGAAAATTAGATCAAATCAGAAACTTAATTAATTTGAAATGTTTTGGCAAGTAACTTTTAATGATTTTTTACTGCCATTTTATATTTTACATTTGGGCTTTTCTTCTAAAGTTTATTTCGTAAAAGTACACAATTTTTTGGTCCAGCTAAAGGACAAAAATTGATTAGCTTCTTATCGTTCACAACTTGATTAGGAAAGTGCTTCACAAAATGCACTTAGTGTGAAATATCAATTTTGTTTCTAGACAAAAAGGAGTTTCTTGTCTATTCAAATCTTTTTTGGCAAGACTAAATATTTTTTCATTAACATAGACTACATTATCTAAATAGCAACAGCAGCAAAAACACTTGCACTTTTCTTATCTCTAATTTTTGTTTTCAATTATTTAATATATTTTATTTGTCAAACTTTTTACCGCAAATATTAATTTGATTAAGGGTTCTACTAAAGTTTTAGCTAAATAAGTTTTTTTAATTAGGACAGAAAGTGCAAGTTGAATGCGCAAGTTTTCTTGAATTTTACATAATTGTGAGAATAAAAAATGTTATAAAAAATAAAAAATAAAGTGTTTTTTCTAAAGTTTTACGTAGAATTGAAATTGATAACCTAGACGACTAATCATTGTAGTGAGAAAGCACCATAGATTTGCTGNCCTTCTTACCTCAACACCTCACTCGCGTCCCGGTGCATACCACCGGTCATCACCACAGGAAGACGGTTCACGAAGCAACACACTCACTCCTTCCCTTTCCCTTCCTTCCCTTTCCGCTCGTAACCAATAAAGGCCTCACAGCCACAAAAGCCCANCTAAAAATATTGTTTTTTGTCGGTGTAGCGACTTGGACCATCGCTCCAAACTTCACATGCAGTCTCTCACTATCTCAGACTTTCACCTCAAGCGCTCAAGGTGATAACACACAGTCTGAACTTCACGCGCTCCTCTTGTCATCAGGCACCTTCAGGCACAGCAAGCACAAGCAATATCTCCGTGCATCNAGGGTTCTACTAAAGTTTTAGCTAAATAAGTTTTTTTAATTAGGACAGAAAGTGCAAGTTGAATGCGCAAGTTTTCTTGAATTTTACATAATTGTGAGAATAAAAAATGTTATAAAAAATAAAAAATAAAGTGTTTTTTCTAAAGTTTTACGTAGAATTGAAATTGATAACCTAGACGACTAATCATTGTAGTGAGAAAGCACCATAGATTTGCTGTTTGCAATTTCTTGCTGATCTTTGAATTTGAAGCATTCTTTCGGAAGCAAAGGCAGTCAACTAGAGAAGTTTCGCAGCAACAAACCGTAAACATGTGATTTTTCAGTTTGTTTGATTCTGGTGGGATTTCATTTGTTATTGACACCGGTTCGGTTCATTTCTTCATCATGCAGCAACTTATTCTGTCTTTGCGCCAAACATTTAGTACATGGAAGTACATTATTCAACGATTCAACCGTGAGTAATAGCTTTTTTGCTTTTTGGTGCATGCTTGCGTGAGACTTTTGTCAACAAAACATTGCATTTTTTCTCGTTTTTAATGATCAATTTATTCTTTCGTAGAGCCAGAGCCACTTTGGGCACTCAACAGCGCTTTACTTCCTTCTACGCAAGAGCCAAAGTCATTCTCTATAAATGAGCTGATGAGAGAAGGCATGCTCTGGGGTGTGCCCAAGAAGAGGCCAACCATAGAGTCTCGCCTGAGGAAGCGTTTTGGTGTACCAAACTACCCACAGAATACTCGCTTGCTCAAACCTAGATCCGATCTTGTCGTTTGTGAGCGTTGCGGCGATCACCATGAAGTGCATACCATCTGCAGAACTTGTTACATTGAGGTGAAAACAGAAACCGAGAAGATAAAGGGCGAAATCAAGGAGCAAACTGATCCATTGGAGCCCAAAGAAAAGGAAGTTTTTCTCAGATTTGAAAATGAAAATGCGAATGAACCCGTCGACAAGTTTCGCATCATTGAAATCTCTCGTCCTCGACCCAAGTGGTTCACAAAGAATCTACTAGCGAGAAGCACGGGCAAAGTGGCCCCGACTCGCGATGTGATCATCAACCCTGAGGACACCATAGGCAAGCATTGAGTACAAGAATTAATAGTAGTTTAATAATAACTGAATGATGGTTAGATATTATGTAGTGTTTAACAATGTATTAAAAAAATAATACCAAGAATAAATATTGTAATAATAATGACATGAAAGGGGCGGTGTGTTCAATCAGTAAACGGTAACAATCTAAAGATTAATAAGAAGAATAACTGCTGATATGATTACAGTGAAGAAGAAGAAGATGGGCGGACTGGTTAGAAATAGTTCAGGCACTATGTGGTGGACATGACTGTGGGGTGAACGAGAGAGAAGATGGGGATGAACGAGCTAACAATGGGCAACAGAAAGAGAGCAAATGAGAGAGGTGGTGGTTAGGTTAGTTGGGAAAAAGGTGACCAGGTCAATTGCCGCCTTGTTGGTGCGTCTCGCTGGAGGAGGAGTAGTAACTGTAGCTAGTGCCGTAGGAGTTGACGGAGGAGTTAAGAGCAGAGTAAGAATAATCCTTTTCATCCGGCGGCCGATTTCCGTACTTGGCGCGGTTGATGGCCGCCAGCTTCTCCCTCGCCTCCACCAGCTCCCGTTCCTTCTTGAGGATGTCCTCCCGGGCGAGGATCTCCTGTGTGATGCCCTGCACGCGCCGCTTGCTGATCACCAGACTCTGCTCCTCCTCCTGTTCGATGGCCTGCTGCGCCGCCCGTACCAGATTGTCCGTCGCCCGCTTCACCTCATTGCCGGCCACCTGCAGGCGGCGCATCGCCTGCGACTCCGGGTCGGCCTTCACCTTACAGGCGACCAGCAGCTGCGCCGTCGAGCTGGCCACCTGCTTCGCCGCAGAGATGAGCTTCTCCTCGCTCGCCTGTCCCTGCACCAGCGAATTGGCCGCCTCCACCAGACTGTGCGTCGCGGCGGCCACGTGCCGGGCCGCGGAGATGAGCCCCTCCGACCACTGGCCGTCGTCGGAGAGGTGCGACGAGTTCTGGTCGATCTTCCCGGTGGCGATCAGCTCCTTCTGCGCCGTGGAGGCCGCTCTGATCAGCAGCGCAGTCGCGTTGGTGATCGACTTGGCCGCCTCGAGGATGATCTCATCAAAGTTCATGTCCTCGTCGGGAAGCTGAAGGGTGGGAGAAAGGGAAGGCAAAGTGATATTAGAGAGATTTGTAGAGCGACTTGGCGAAGAGTCAGGTAGAAGACGCTATGTGCTATGAAGGGTTTAATCACACTACTAGAATGAGGTGGAATAGAGCAAAGCAGCCGCTTATCAAGTGTTAACAAAATTCTAAGAACTTGGCTGCTACAGATTGCTGATTAACCACCAGGGGTAAGATATCGAGCATCAAGCGGCGTTGAAGTGTGTGTGGTCCGACGTCTGGGTCATATGTCTGATTCTTGGTTGAATTTAAATAGTCAACAACCAAGAATATCAAACATATCTCCAGATGCCGACCTAGTAAGAGGTGGCCGCGTTCTTTCATACTGAAAAAAATGTTTGCACCCATTCCCCACTCACCTTGACGCTAGTTTGGCGAGGCTGCAGATTGGCCAACTTCTTGGCCGCCAGGTCAATGGAGGAGGCAGCTCCGAGCAGTTCATTCTCTGCAATGAAGGTCGGATCGTCCGGGTCGACCCAGTCGACGCCCTTCAGCATCTCCGCAAGGGAGACAATGTCAGTGACCGACTGGGCGATGGTGCGAGACATCATCGTCAGCTGGTGCTTCAGCTCAGTCGCCGACATTGGTCGCTGGAGAATGTGGAAAATCATCTTCAGCAGTTCCTGGTAGTTGGCGGCGCAGTCCTTGCCCGATTCGAGGATGCGACTCTTCAGGTCCTCACTGTCCGCCAGATTGGCCGCCGCCCGGCAGACCATCAGCAGGTCGTGGATGGCCTTTCGGCCCATGTTCGCCACCACAATCACATCGTCCTGTTTGCCGCTGGTGCCCGCGGCCACGGCCTTTGCAGTGGCCAGCGTCACCGGCTTGGTGATGCGAATCAGGTGCTCCGGCGTCACCTCCTGCATTATGTACATGTTACCAGTTTCGTAATTGCGAATCTCGCTGTCAATGCCATCAATGGTCGCCTCAAGGGCTCGCGTGCCGCGCTGCTGTTCATCCTCCACCGTCTTCACCGTCTTCAGCAGCGATGTAACATTTGTGACCATCACCTAAAGAGGAAAAGAAGAAGTTAGTAAATGAAAGCCTCAGTTGACAAAACCTTTCTGAATACCTTTGCTGAGTCCTTGAGGTGCATCATCGCCGGATCGTTAATGTTCTTTCCTGAGGCCGTCTTGGTGGCCTCAATGAGCTCATTGAGCGCAATGGCGACATCCTTCACCGAGTTGAGAAGCATCACCTGCGCCTCCGAGTTGTTGGAGCCCAGTGTGGCGGCGCCGTACTTGACTGCCTCCGTCAGCTGAGTGATGGTGGTGACGGCATTCTGGGCGGCCACGGCCAGGGCCTCCTGACTGGAAGCAGCCCCTGCCACCAGTGTCTTTGTGTCCTCTACCAGCGCCTTCGCCGTCTTCAGTATCTCGTCCTTGTGCACGGCAAAGGCGTCATTCGGGTCATCGGAGTTGAGCGTGCCCGAGGTGGCGAACATGATGGTCGTGTCAATGTCGCCGATGATGCCCTGCACTGAGTTGGCCGCGTGAATGCACGCCTGAGTGCCCCGGGAGCCGGCCTGCAGAGCGGCCAGCACGAAACTGGCCTTCTCACAGACATTGCGGGCACTCTCCGCCAGCTCCCGCTGGCTGTAACTGTCACCCGGGTTCACCTGACACGAGCCGGCGCACTTGGTGATCTCAATGCACGAGGAGCCCAGCTCTTGGACGCTGCCCTTCACACGAGAGGCAATCTAGGCGAAAAAAAATTGAAGTTAATTAAAATACACACACGCAGCAATCAGAGAACGTACCTCTACATTATTTGTGGCACTTGAAATTCCATTGACATCACTGGCGAGATTAGCGTAGTTGTGCGAGAGCTTTGTCACTAGAGCGCCCAGCTGGGACACCTGGGAAGACTTTCCCACCTGTAGGTAAATAAATGTGTTAAAACTGGTAAAAACTCAAAACTCAAAACAACAGCATTACCATGTCCTGGGCAATTTTGGCAATTTCTTTGGTATAGTTGACCATCCTCGTCTGGTAGTCGACGTAGGCCATTCCCTCCGGCGAGGAACCGTTCGTGTAGCCGTACTGGCGCTCATCAATACGGCTGATGGACTTGGTGATCGACTCAATGATGCTGTTCACCTGACCATCGGCAGAGGCGGCCAGCTCAAGCAGGTGCAGCAGGTCCCTGATGGCGCCCTTCATGTCGGCGCTGGAGTCGTCAATCTCCGCGTGAATGGAGGAGGCCTTCGGATTGCCGCCGCACTCCTTCACCGAGTAGATCAGCTGGAGGGCGTACTCGCAGATGACCTTCGCCTTGTCGAGAATCTGGTTCTGCTGTTTGGCGTCGATGATCTTCGAGGCGCAGCCAATGGAGTTGGAGACGAGCGGGTCAAAGTAGGAAATCATCTGCGTGATGGCGTGTCCCAGCTTTTCCGCCTGCGACTTGCCTGCCACTCGCACGCCGTCAGTGTGCTCCTCAATTTCGGAGGCAGAAGCGCAGATCGCCTCTCTGAAGCCCTTCAGGTTGTTGTCGTCTCGAGTTCGCATCGTCTTGTTGATCGCATCAAGTGACGACTGATCAAGTTCGTTGATGCAGATGCGTATCTTTTCCAGTGCGTCGTCGCACTCGTTCTGCCCCGGCGAGGCGTCCTTAATCGAGGTGACCAACTTTTTGATGGAGTCGCTGACGTTTTTGCTGTGATTCGCCAGCGTCTGCCACCCGGGCGGGTCCTTCGGGTTGAGCGCCAGCGACTTGGCCGACATGATCATCGAGGAGGAGGCGTCGATGATCGACTTGCCGTAGGAGGTAATTGGCTCCTGGGCAGAGCGCGCCTTTGTGCTGATCTTTGCCGGCACCGGCGCAAACTCGGGCGAGCTGGCAAAGGAGAGCAGGTTCTCCACCGACTCGAGCAGCGGCCGCGTCGCGTGTCGGCAGTTCTCATTGACGTGCTGTGCATTGTTTTCATCCAGCGGACGGATCTCCTTGATCAGAGCGGCGGTGGCATTGGCGACGTCCTTCGCCGACTGCACAAAGTTTCGCTTCGAGTTGGGGTTGGTGGTTTTGGTTGAGGCCACTCGGCAGGCATTGCACAGCGCCGAGGTGGATTTGGCGATCTCCGTGGCGGAGCGGATGAACTGGTCACGGGTGGTGTTGGGCGAGATGAGCTGCTGGCAGGCGCCGTGAATGGTGTCGCTGGAGCGCTGCAGCAGGTTCAGGTCGATGATGGCTGGCTTGCCGGCGACGCTGCTCGGGTCGGAGGCACCGATGAGGTAGGCCGCCTGGGTGGCCCCTTCCAGCAGGCCGCAAATCGACTCAGAGGCCTCCTTCACCGACCGCCCAAAGTGCTCGTGTTCGCTCTTGCGGGCGTGGTTGGCAATGCCGGTGATGGCGTCTCCCAGCAGGCGGCTCTTCTCCGTCACCAGCTCTAGGCACTCGAAGTAGGTGGAGCCGTTCAGCTGGTAGGGGTTGTCCAGGTGGGAGCGCATCATCTGAATGTTCTGAATGGCGGCGTCGCACTCCTTCTGCCCGGGGGCGGACAGCGAGCACACCTCCAGCAGATTGCTGATGCTCTCCGTCACCGAACGGGCAGAGGAGGCCAGCTGACTGCGCGCATTGGGGGCGTTCGGGTCAGAGGAGACGGCCTTCGCAGACTGGAGGAACTTGGCTGAGGAGGCGGAGAGATTCTGCAGAGAGGAGACAATCTGCTGCTGGACGTGCGGGTCACTGGTCTGTCCGGCCAGCTCATTGCCCAGCCCCAGCAGTTGGTTGTAGTGGGCGGTGTAGCCCTTGGAGGCGGGCGCCAGCTGAGAGGGACTGCGCGAGCCGTCGATCACCTCCGAGGTGGACTCGTTGAGCTTGGAGGCGGCCGCGGAGATGCTGTTCTGAAGGTCCAGGTACGACCGCCCGGAGTAGGTCTCGTGGCCGATGGAGCGGCTGCTCTCGTTGACGGTGCGAATGGCGTCGTCAATCTCCCGGTGGCTGGGCAGCGAGGCGAGGCACAGCTGCAGCGCATTCGACAGCGACTTCGCCACCGCCGTCAACCGCTGGCGCCGGTCGGCGTCCTGACTGTTCTCCAGCGCCCAGCGAATCTCCTCAAACAGCGTAATGGACTGCTCGAGAATGTCGATGGCATTGTCCAGCACCTTCATCTGCACGTCACGCTCCGTGGAGGTGGCGGCGATGCCGCGCGA